CACAAATGACAGAAATAGAGGAAAGCAAACTACTGGATATAGAGTTCAAAACCACCGTTGTAAGGTTTCTCAAGAATTTTCTAGAAACCGCTGATAAATCTAGTGAGACCCTCGAGGATATGAAAATGGACCAAATAGAAATTAAGCATACACTGACTGAAATAAAGAATATCATACATAGATCCAACAGCAGCCTAGAGGATTGCAAGAATCAAGTCAAAGATTTGAAATATGAAGAAGTAAAAAACACCCAACCGGAAAAGCAAAAAGAAAAAAGAATCCAAAAATATGAAGATAGTGTAAGGAGCCTCTGGGACAACTTCAAGCGAACCAATATCCGAATTATAGGGGTGCCAGAAGAAGAGAGAGAGCAAGATATTGAAAACCTAGTTGAAGAAATAATGACAGAAAACTTCCCCTACCTGGTGAAAGAAATAGACTTACAAGTCCAGGAAGCGCAGAGACCCCCAAACAAAAGGAATCCAAAGAGGACCACACCAAGACACATCATAATTAAAATGCCAAGAGGAAAAGACAAAGAGACAATCTTAAAAGCAGCAAGAAAAACACAGTTAGTTACCTACAAGGGAGTACCCATAAGATTGTCAGCTGATTTCTCAACAGAAACTGTGCAGGCCAGAAGGGAGTGGCAAGAAATATTCAAAGTGATCAATGCCAAGAACCTACAACCAAGATTACTTTATCCAGCAAAGCTATCATTGAGAATTGAAGGTCAGATAAAGAGCTTCACAGATAAGAAAAAGCTAAAGGAGTTCATCACCACCAAACCAGTATTATATGAAATGCTGAAAGGTATTCTTTAAGAAGAGGAAGAAGAAAAAGGTAAAGATAAAAATTAGGAACAATAAGTACATACTATCAACAAGTGAATCTAAAAATCAAGTGAATAAAAAATCTGATGAACAGAATAAACTGGTGAATATAATAGAATCAGGGGCATAGAAAGGGAGTGGAATGACAATTCTTCGGGGGGAAAGCGGTGTGGGGGTGCAGGAAGACACTGGACAAAAATTGTACAGCTATGGATGAGGACAGTGGGGTGGATAGGGCAGAGGGTGGGGTGGGAACCAGGTGGAGGGGAGCTATGGGGGAAAAAAAAGAGGAACAACTGTAATAATCTGAACAATAAAGATTTAATTAAAAATTAAAAAATAAATAAAAAGGAAAGATATTATTTATTTCACAAATCTACACACTGGCAGGAGACTATCCTTAACCCCTGGCTTAAAAATTTTAGAAAATTTTATAAAAGGGATACTCTATGAGCAATTAATGAAAGAGCCAGCAAGAATTTATGAAAAACAAATGTCAACTTAAACCAGCAGTCAATTTCAGACCTCAGGTTACTGCTGTGCCACGTGCATGGACAGTCCCTGAAGCACAGTGCTCACAGGACTGACTCACTGAAGGAAAGAATGCGGACTCCAATCCTCTTTCCAAAGTGTTACTACTGACAAAGAGTTAATGTGAAAGCAATGTGTATATCACAAAACATTCCGAAGTGCTTTAATAACAGCATCCTTGACTGTAAGCTGGCAGGCCTATCTGGTGCAGAGATCTGGAAGTCATTCCTTTGGTCATTCAACAGACATTTACTGAATACTTCTATATGGCAGTTCACAAAAGAGACTACATTTATGTCTTCATGGAGCTCACATGTCAAGTGAGGGAGATGGCCAGTAAAGATATTAATAAAAAATGTATGTCAGATAGTGAAAACCACTGTGGAGAAGCTGAAATGGAGGCACGAGGGGGAGGGGGCCTGGCGGGAGTCCAAGGACAGCCACCTGAAAATGAGGCTGCACACAGGGAGCAGCCATGCAGATGTCTGGAAAACAGTCATAATATTCTTTTTTTTTTTTTTTAATATATTTTATTGATTTTTTACAGAGAGGAAGGGAGAGAGATAGTTAGAAACATCGACGAGAGAGAAACATCGATCAGCTGCCTCCTGCACATTTCCCACTGGAGATGTGCCCGCAACCCAGGTACATGCCCTTGACCGGAATCAAACCTGGGACCTTTCAGTCCCCAGGCCGACGCTCTAGCCACTGAGCCAAACCGGTTTCGGCATAGTCATAATATTCTTATGGACAAAATGAGGACATATCAGTGCTTTTAGGGTTACTCCAAACAAACAAGGATTATTTTCCAGCAGTGCTGACTGACAGGGACCTGAGGGAGTTCTTAGCGCTGCGTAGTGCAGCTCTGATCCGAGCTCTGCACCGTTAACATTAATCATGACTCGACACAAAAAACTGGCTAATTAAATTTTAGGATGACACAAAGCTGGGAAAGAAATTGCAACCCTTGGAATACAGAAACAGCTTTCAGAAAGGTCTTCAAGGTTAAAGTGATCGCTCAGGCTTAACAAGACAAAGCTCTGATGTCCAGAATGTACTCTGTAGAGCACACGATAAGGAGACGTAGCTCAAGCGATAATACATGAAAGAAAGAACTTCTCTGGGCTTTCTGTTGACACTGACCCCAACCTGAGTGTGGTGATATGGCTGCTCCCCCAAAGCTAATAAATTATTAAGGAACTGTTAAGTAACGTCTTTAGGACTAGGGTAAAGGACACTTCCCTCCAATTCTACAATGGCCAGACCCCATGGAGAGTATTTTGTTCAGTTCTAAGAATCAAAATTTAAGAGTGATTGAAATACAGATTCATCTAGATAGCACCTGGGATTAAATCCAGGTCACAAGGAAACTGGTTGAAGAGCTAGTGGTGGTAGCTGGGAGTCTGGGGGCAGGCGGTAGCCATCTTCAAATAGAGAAAGGGCTCCTGTAGAGGCAGAACTGGAGCGCGGGGGCAGAAGCAGCAGGGGAGGAGTTTTGGTTGATCACATAAGAAAATGTCAGTCATTCCAGGGTGGATGCTGAGACTCCCCTGTCACCGGATAACTGCCCTGGGGGCCAGGGATGGCTGCAGTGAGGCCGCAGGGGGCTGGCGTAGGGCTCCCTAACTGATGTCATCGACTAGTCTCTCTTTCTAGCAAGGCTGAGGAAGAGGAAGTGCTGTCAGTAAAGGTTTATTTTTTTCACTTAAATTTTCTTACATTTTTTGTACTAATTTTTCTATTGTTCCAATTTCCCTATTAGTTACTTGTTTGAACATTTTTTGATATTTGCAATAATCTTCAATTATATATATTATTGTAAGAAAAGTACCCAAATCCTATCTAATAAAGAGTTACTATGCAAACTGACCATCACTTCAACACACAAGTGGCCACCCCACATGTGAACACAAGATGGCTGGCAGGGGAAGGCAGTTGTGGGCAATCAGACCAGCAGGGGAGAGCAGTTGCGGGCAACCGGGCCGGCAGAGGAGGGCAGTTGGGGGGGACCAGCCCTGCAGGGGAGGGCAGTTAGGGGTGACTAGACCGGAAGAGGAGGGCAGGTGGATATCCCTCAAGGGGTCCCAGATTGGAGAGGGTGCAGGCTGGGCTGAGGGACAAACCCCCTGCATGAATTTCATGTACCGGGCCTCTATATTATATAAAAAAAGAGCCACATTTAGTATTAAGAAGGTAACTGAAATCACTACATCTACTGTCTTTAGATGCCTACATCTTTTCCTTTATACAAAATTAATTCAAAGTAAAAAAATTAACTCAAAAGCATAAAATGATATAACTTTTAGAAGATAACCTAGAAGAAAATCTCCAATACCTATGTTTACTGAAGAGCGCTTAGTCATAACAGTGAAAGCATGATCCTAAAAGAAAAACATGGCAAGTTGAACTTCATCAAATGAAAGATTTTGCTTTGTGAAGGACCCTGTTTAAGGAATGAAAAGAATAAGCTATGAACCAGGAGAAAATATTTGCAAACTACATATCTGATGAAGGACTCATATCAAGAAAACAGATATAACTCTCAAAACTGACAGTAAAGAAAACCTCAAAAATCCCATTAGAAAATGGCTTCAGACATAGACATTTCCCTGAAAAGGTACATAGATGACACATAGCACATGAGAGGGTGTTCATCATTAGCTATTAAGAAGATGCAAATTAAGACCACAAAGAGCTATTACAATACGTTTATCAGGACAGCCAAAATAAAAACCGGTGGTAACACCAAATGCTGGTGAGGATGTGGGAAGCTGGGTCTTAGGATGCATTGCTGGTGGAATATAAAATGGTGCAACCACTTTGGACAGAAAGTAGTTGGGTAAAATAGTTCTTAACAAGCTAAACGTACTCTTACCATGTGACCAAGCAGTTGGGCATCGATCCTAGAGGAATGAAAACTAATGTTCATTCAAAAAGTTGCACAGGATTGTTCGTGGGAACTTTCTAGTAATTGCTAAAGACTGGAATGACCTATGTCTCTCAATTGGCAAATAAACAAGGAATTCAGCAGTAAACAAAGAACAATTACTGACGCAAGTAACAACTTGGATGGATCTCAAAGGCATTATGCTAAGTAAACAAAGCCAATCTCAATACATCCCACACTGTATGATTCTATTTATAAAGCATCCTCCAAATGACGAAATGAGAGATGGAACACTGATGGTGGTTTCCAGGGCCCGGGGACGGTGCAGAGCAGGGAGGGTGTGGCTGGAAGGAGCAGCATGAGTGTTCTCTGTGGCATGGGACAGTGCACAGGTGACCAAGTGACACAGAACTACATGTGTCCATCGTACCAATGCCAAATTCTTGCTCTTGAAATTGTACTATCATTGTGTGTGATGCCACCACTGGCAGAAACTGAGTGAAGGACACATGGGACCTCTCTGTATTATCTTGGCAACTTTGTATGAACTTATAACAATTTCAAAATGAAATTAAAAAAAAGTGTGCTCCACAATTTCAATCAAGAATGTAATTTTTTTCGTATTTTGTGCTGTAATAGGGACATGGAAAAGGGAGAGAGATTCATTTGGCCAGGTGAAAAAATAACTAATGTCTTTTCAACGCTAGTAATCACAAAGATAAACATAACTTTAAAAAAAAAGTAATGACCTTAACATGAAATTCATTATCCAGTAAGATATTCTGCGTCTTCAGGTCATGATGCAGTAGAGGAGGATTCATATTATGTAGGTAGTTCACGCCCAGTGCGATTTCATGCAGGATGCGGAATCTCAGCGGCCAGGCGACTTCCGGATATTCTGTTTTCTTCATATATGCAAGAAGACACAAAACCAAAATCAGTGGCCAAATTCCCATATATTCACACTTAGGAATTAAATATTCCATGAGAAATGCAGCATAAACTAAGGTCAAAACATATGCTCATTTTTTTTAACATAGTAACAAATTTGACATCAACATCCCTGTATCCTATTTCCCTTACTTTTTAGAGAAAATAACTTTATAGTGTTGATATTTATTCCCTTTTAGTCTATATTGGTAATGTAACTACATGATATCGGTTCTTCTTTTTTCAGTTGACACAGTTTCAATTACTTTTTAATCTATGTAACACTCACACAGGTACACACATACCCACACCCATCTCCCCATTTTATGGCTTATAGCAAGTAGACTGTGCGCACACATGAGCACACACACACATAATTGTTTCTAGTACATACCAAACCATTTGTTCAAATTAATGTTTTAATTTTTTGATTAATATAAAACTAATCATTATACCCATTAAAAAGTGTGACCATATTATATTTATTAACTAAGCATTAATATCTCATACTTTTATTCATATAATTAATTTATTTGCATTTCAACTTGAAAAATTAGCCTTGAATTTTGTTTTTAAGAAGGAGACGTTCATCTTTATTTATAAAGCATATGTAATACAGACATTTAAAGCAATGTTTTATATTTCTTGGTACTTACAAGTGATATCCATTTGAACTTTCATTAAATAAATTCCGAACATAAAAATTACTGCAGAACCTCAGGAAAATGAGTATACTCAGAAAAGTTAGATACTTGGGGAAGATTCTGCAGTGACTATCAGGCACCGTGACACTGGGCATATTTTTCTCCATGACAGGAAGCAGTATGCTTCTACTGAAAGCTCCAAACTGTTCTTGAGATTTTTTTTCTGCAAATGGATCAGCTTATAGTTCAGTGATCACCTGGCATGAAAGTGGGTCAAACTTTTGTGCTTACACTGTATTTTGACTTATTTCAGCAATCGTTCATGAGGGTGGGGAAGGGTGCTTCAAGACAAACCCATCCTAACAATGCGATCCAGGAAACCAAAAGAAACACAAATACTCATGTCACACATTAGTTCCTCTGATATATACAGAGCCCCGTCCACTCAGTGACTGAACCTTTCACTCCATAAAAAGGTAACTTTCTAAAAATTATGTAGGTGAAAGGAGGAAGAAGTCCTCTCTGCACGTGTGTGAAATGGGAGCTTCTGGTCCCGGCTCCTTCCAGGAATGAGCAGTCCCCTGGGGAGGCTCTCGGATTCTGAATCCAGAGGCTCAGACCTGGCTGCCAGAATATCTAGTGGGTGCTGGGTGTGGGAAGTAAACATTAGAATTCCTACTTATCTCTCAAAAAGAAATTGTGCTGGATTAATACTTGCATCTTGGCTGCGGTGGTAGTTACACACACCTCACACACCCACCCCATCCTGCTTGAGATGCTCACACCATACACAGAACGTGATGTGTCCCAGGCAAAGAGGAAGTCCCTCCCCCAGAGGCTGCGCTGCCAGCAGCCCCCTTTCTCCCACCAGAACACTGATGGGTAGGGATTTAGGATTTTACACCTTATATTACCAAGTTTTAACTAAACCAAACTCGCTAAATAGACTGTTGTTGTTTTTTAATATATTTTTATTGATTTCAGAGACGAGGGAAGAGGGAGAGAGAGATAGAAACATCAATGATGAGAGAGAATCATTGATCAGCTGCCTCCTGCACACCCCCTACTGGGGACCGAGCACACAACTCGGGCATGTGCCCTTGACTGCAATCGAACCCGGACCTTTCAATCCCCAGGTTGATGCTGTATCCACTGCTAGGGCTAGACTGAGCGTTTTAAAAAGATTTATTAAGAGAAACTGCAGGTTGGAGATCATACCAACTCAAGCAAACAGCCATAGAAGCATACACATATTTTGAGAATGAGGATCCCCAAATTTGTTTACTAATGGGATTCACAATCAAAGCCAGAGTAACTGGTACCTTGAGAAAACAAGTAAATAGCTCACACCACTGCCAATCATGGAAAAGCAATGCATCTGGCACTCAGAGATAGATTTATTTGGCCTAGTAATTCAGGATTTTATGAACTGGTACTATTGACATTTAGTTTGAATCCTAAATTGTCTTTAACATAATATAAAATCCGGACAGTGGACCATGCAGTGTGCCCTTTACCTTCTCTCTCTCTTATGCCTACCTGATTATACACGTGGAGAGTGGAATTCAGTGTAGAACGCAGTAACCTAAGCAAAAGAACCTCCATTCCTTAGCAGACAAGGCCTGACTTCACATTATTCTTAACAACACAAAAGAAGCCATAGATGGTGAAACTTTAGCACCACGTTGTTTTTCATTATTCTTATTGTGATTCATCTATATTTATCCCCAAATAACCAAAGCACTTTATAGCTTCATTAACAGAATTACAGCCACTGAAAATGCACAACACTTACCCTATGTAGGAGTTCATTTAATGATCCATTTGGCATGTATTCAGTAACTATTCCCAAAAATTCAGGCTCATTGCAAATTCCCAAAATTGGAAGAATGTAACTAAATCTAGCTTTGTGTAAAATTTCAGCTTCTCTTAAGACATCATTTCTTTCACTAAAGAAAAAAAAAGCATAATTATTTTAAAGTAATGGAAAATACACAATTATCATGCCCATGATATTAAGTTAGCCTGGACTTTTTCAGTAATCAGCTTTTGACTTCTTGTAAATTATGCAACTCTCTGTCCTTTAGTTTCATCACATTTAAAGTAGGGAAAACACCTACCCTGTATAGCCTATAGGTTTGTTTACAGACCAAAATAACTTCTCTAAGCCACTGACAGAAAAAAGTGCTACGCCTAGGCTATCATGATACTTTTCTAGGAAAAGGAAAGAACACTCTGGGTAAGTTTATAAAGTCTACAGTATTCGAACGATTGGTGTGTGAACTAATTAAACTATTAAATTTATGTTGTATTAAAACAATCAGATCTGATTCAATTATATTAAATTTATAGTTGCATACCATGTAAAATTTCCCCAAATATCCTGACTATTGAGACATCTCAATGTAGATTTAAATAACGAGGTACTAGCTGCATGAGGGCCAATGTTCCTGAGGGATTATCCTCTGGGACCCAGGAAGAGAACACTGAGAGCAGGTGAGTGCTTCTAACAGATGCAGGGGGGAGGGGGGGGGGGGACGCGGGGGGAGGGAGGAAATCAGGGTCCAGGTCCATTTGCTTATTCCTACATAAAACAAATAAATAAGGAACCTTCATTAAGAATAAAAAGTGCTCAGCATTATGGAGAATATAAAGATGAAAAAGAACACAGTCTGTGCTCTCAAGCTGCCCGGAAATCTTTTTAAAGAAAAATAAATACTCATTGTGGTTTTGATTTGCATTTTCCTGGTGGTAAGTGATGTTGAACACCTTTTCAAATACCTGGTGGTCAGTGTATGCCTTTGGATGTGTTAATTATCTCGATTTGGTAACGTTTCCACAATATATGTGTATCAAATCATCATGCAGTATACTTTAAATACCAGTCATATATATATGCAGTCCATGGACCATACAGGATGGTAGTCCTGTAGTTTATAACGGACCTGAAAAATTCCTATGGCTTAGTGACACGGCAGCCATCCTGAGGTTTAACCCTCTGCTGTTTTATATAGTAGCATGCTGCACAGCTTGTAGCCCAGGGGCAATGGGCTCTGCCATGCAGCCCAGGTGAGCAGCACGCTGCCCCACCAGGTCTGTGTAAGTGTCTTTCTGATGTTCGTACGACAACAGAATCGTCTAAGGATGCATTTCTTATACTGTATCCCTGTCATTAAGTGGCACACGATTGTATACAATTATATTTGTACTAGATGCCCGTGCAAAAAAATTTGTGCACTCAGGGGCAGGGTGTCCCTCAGCCTGGCCTATGCCCTCTTGCAGTCTGGGAGCCCTCGGAGGATGTCCACCTGCTGGCTTAGGCCCACTCTCTGGGGGATCGGGCCCAAGCTGGCAGTCAGACATCCCTCTGGCAGCCTGGCAGTCCTCGGGGGATGTCCACTTACCAGCAGGGAGCAGACCTAAGCTGCAGTTGGCCATCCTTAGTGCTGCTGAGGAGGCGGGAGAGGCTCCCGCAACCACCTCTGTGCTGGCAGCCATCAGCCTGGCTTGTGGCTGAGCAGAGCTCCCCCTGTGGGAGCGCACTGACCACCAGGGGGCAGCTCCTGCATTGAGCGTCTGCCCCCTGGTGGTCAGTGTGTGTCATAGTGACCAGTCATTCCCAGTCGTTCTGCTGTTAGGGTCAGTTTGCATATTACCCTTTTATTATATAAGATAGAGGCCTGGTACACGGGTGGGGGCCAGCCTGTTTGCCCTGAAGGGTATCCTGGATCAGGGTGGAGGTTCCGCTGGGATGCCTGGCCAGCCTGGGTGAGGGGCTGATGGCTGTTTTCAGGCTGGCCACACCCCCTTTAGGGTGGGGGTTCCCCAATGGGGTGCCTTGCCAGTCTGGGTGAGGGGCTAAGGGCCATTTTCAGGCTGGCCAAGCCCCCCGGCGAAGGAAGCTCCCAGCCTCTCCTTTTTTTCTTCTTCTTTTTTTTTTTTATTCTGAGATTTATTTACTTTCTATAATTGAAACTTTGTAGCCTTGAGTGGAGCTCAGAGCCGGCCAGGGCGGGTGAGAAGCTTGGCTTCCTCCATCGCCAGGGGCAAACCAAGCCTCCTACTTGCTCCAGCGCTGTGGCCACGCCCGCTGAAAGCAGGTATCTGGGGTTTATTTATCTTTTATAATTAAAACTTTGTTGCCTTGAGTGGAGCTCAGAGCTGGCCGCGGCAGGGGGGAAGGTTTGCTTCCTCCATCACTGGGGCAACCAAGTCTCCTGTTCACTCCAGCTCCATGGCTGCTGGCCGCCATGTTGGTTGGGTTAATTTGCATATAGTCGCTCTGATTGGCTGGTGGGCGTGGCTTAAGGTGTAGCAAAGGTATGGTCAATTTGCATGTTTGTCTTTTATTAGTGTAGATATAATTAATTATTCATTAATAAAGTTAAAAATAAGGAAAGAAATTTAAAAAGAAAAATAAACAAAATATAAGGCAATTATTCATTAGTAAAATTAAAATAAGGAATTTAAAAAAATTAAAACTTAAAATATAAGGCAGATGTGATTAGTGCCACACATATACAAACACACACACATAACTAAATGAATAAATAGAGGACTGAGGGAACCCAGAGAAAAGACAGGAAACACTGGGCTCGGGAGTCACCAGTCTTCAGAGAGGTGGATTTCAACTACACTTTATGAATGGAGAGAATCTCGGCCTTTGGAGAAAGGGCATCTAAGGCTCATGTGGCCTCCGAGATGAGCGGGACCTTGCCTTTTTCATCTGTGAATCCCCAGGACCGGACCAGTGCCTGGCACTTAGTAGAGGTTTAATAGATAAGCACCAAATGTATTCAGGAAGTTAGAGCGAGGACTCAGTTTCCTGTGAATCAGGCCATGTAGCAGTGGTGAAAAGGGTGGAGGTGACCAGGGCAGCAGGGCCATGTCTCAGAGTCTTAAAGCCAGATGCGGGCGTTGACACTTTATTTGGTAGTCTCTGAGTTGTGAATGCAGGTTTTTAAGCAGAGAAATGACATAAGCAGAACCAACTTTTAGGATTCATTGGCAGCAGGATGTAGGATCAGCAGAAAGAGGTAGAGTTTGAGTCAGGCATTAGCTATAATACTAGTTAAGATGTGAAGCAATGAAAGCCTGAAACTATAAAGGCCACTGTGGAAATGGAAAGGAAAACATCAGCTGACTAGGATGTCCAGGCTGCTGTGGTGGTGACTGGCTCCGAGAGAAGAAAAGAAAGAAAGAAAGTTAGTTGAAGATGCCATCAGTGTTCACCCGGGATGAATGGGTTGGTAGCAGCACTAACAGAAGAGAACCATGGCAAGAAGCCTGCTAGGTAAGTGATGGTGATGAGTCTGTCACCAGGCTCTGCAAGAATGGCTGTTGCAATAAGAAAAGCAGCAGACGTTCCAGACCAGATAATGAGGCCTGCTTTAAAAATAAACAAAGAGAAGAACAAGCCCAAAACCTTAGTCATTTATGTTTTGAATAAATGATTATATATATATTTACATGTTTAAAATTGAAGACTTGGAAGAGGGCACACCTCCCAGGGTGGGTATGCGGTATTCTTCCTTCTACTCTGCCCTACTGTGTGTCAGCCACTTCACAGGCACTATCATAGCAGATCACCCCTAAAGGTGGGTTCATTATCCCACTGTACTCTGAGGGCTCTGAGGCTTCAGTAGACTCATACTTTTCTAGAGGTTATACCAAGAGCATGTGGCAGGGTGGAGTCAGATTTGAATTGCCCTCGTGGGACTCTAAAGCCCGTGTTCTTTCCATTCCAGTGTGTGATCAGAGAAGAAGGGAGATTCTTAAAATCAGGTTTTGGGAATTTTGAGTGAGTGGGAAAACAGAAAAAGCCTAAACAGTTTAAAATAGGGTTTTATATTTTTAAACATAAGACTGTGAAATACAGCTTCTATAGACATACCACCAAAATTACCAGCCAAAAAACTATGGCGTCTACAGGGTGTTTGAAGAACCAATGGGACCCATCTACTCATCAGGCGTTGGGAGAGTGTTGGGGACAGAAATCAGGTGATGGAGAAGGAGTGACCAATCCCTAAACACAAACTGGTTTCCTTTCCAGTGATCCCAAAGCACATGCAGACATCACCCAGGCCGGGCCGGCAGGTCCACGCCTGCACTGTCCCCGCTCTAAGCGAGGCAGAGCCCGCGACCGCCTCCACAGCCCGGCATGGATCAGACTCTGCAAATCCTCCGCTGATGTCCCGCCCCAGGAGGCAAGTGGGAGGGAAGCTCGTGATGCCTGCGTCGCACAGTCTCATGGCGGCTTTGACCACAGTTAGTTCCTACCCACTGAGTGGAGAGTTTTCCATGATGAAAAGTGTGAGTGAGTAAGGAAGGGGAACTCCCTCTTCATTCCTCGGCCTCACGTGGCACAGACTTTTATTAAAACGCGCGCGGGAGGCTGTCTGCGGTAGAATAACTGTAACGGGGCCTCGGCGCTGGGCCCCACGCATCGGCAGAGTCCACTGCACAGCACACCCACCCCTCCACCCGCACGCGCAGGCCGCGGGTACCTCCGCGCACTCGCCGTCGGCTGGCAGAAGCCAAGGCCACACCCAGTGTTGACGAGGCCGGGATCCGCGTGAGCCGGGAGGGAACCGCCTTCGGTGTCGCAGGCCTCCCGTGAGCGAGACCTGGGCCTGATACCAGGGCAGCCGGTACCGGCCGCCCGCGGAGCCGTGGGCTCGGCCGTGAGCTCAGCAGGGACCGGACCGCTGAGCAACGCGGCGTCGCGGCTGCGCGTGGCTGCAGCGCTTTCTGGAAACAGAAACTAGTCCCGCTTCCCCAAACCCTGCTCGCGCGCCGCCCTGCGCGCGGGACGTGCGGGCGGCCCGTGCTACCGGTCGCGTGGGAGTCGGGTCCAGGCCGCTGTGCCGCCGCACAGCCCTGCCTCGGGGCGGCTCTCCCGCGACAGCAGCCGGCGCCGCGCTTCGGCCGCACGCGGCCCAGCGGGCCCAGCCCGGACGCCCGACCCCGGGACACCCGGCGCTCCGCGCTGACTGCCGGGCGGCCACGCTCGCGGCTCAACCCCGAGGGGAGCGCAGCCCGGAGCGCGAGCCGCACCAGACGCGGAGCCAGGCGCCCGCGCAGCCGCAGCCGCAGCCGCAGCCACAGCCGCGGTCAGGAGGGGGCGGGACGGCGGGGCGCCTACCTGTCGAGCAGCGGCGTGTGGATGTGCAGGTGCTTCACGGCCACCTGCACGCGCCAGTCGGCGTGGCGCGCGGACGACACGGTGCCGGACGCGCCGCGGCTGAGGAAGCGCAGGTCGGCGAGCTTCTGGGAGGGCACGGCGGGCAGCGCGCTGCAGATGGGCTCGGCGCTCATGGCTCCGGCCCACAGCCGCTCCCGCTGCCCCGGCCCCCGCTGCCCACGCCCCCGCTCGGCTCCCGCTCCGCCCTGCGGGCGGCCAGACCTCCTGCTGCAGGTGGGCACTAGGTCGCCAAGGCGGCCATGCCCGCGCGACTGCCCGCCACCACTTTTCCGGAGCCGCACCGACCGCAGTCCGGAGCGAGACTGGCAGCTCAGTGGCCGCAGCGATGACGCGCCTCCCGCCCGCCCCGCCCTGCTCTCCTCTCCCGCCCCTCGCAGGCCCCTCCCCTCCGCTGGCTCCTCCTCAGCCCCGCCCACCCGCCACCAGCTCCTCGCCGGCCCCGCCCTCCGGCCCCTCGCAGGCCCCGCTCCTCACACTGGCTCCTCCTCAGCCCCGCCCACCCGCCGCCGGCTCCGCCCCCACGCGCCTGGCTGCTCCCCGCGCCTGTTCTCCGCGCCTCTCGCGCTTCTCGCCCGCTGGCTGGCGGGCGACCCTGCTGGCCGTGCGGGAGCCGGGCGCCACTCGTCCCCTGCACTGACCCGGCCTCGCCCCTGCGGGAGCGCGAGCCCAGGTATGGCCGGGTCTGCGGGTCTGCGGTGGGGGCGGGGGCAGGGAGAGGACGGCAGAGCCTCACGCGCTCCTGAGCCCGTGGCCTGCGGTCCTGTCGCCCAGGGCCGCCCGCCTCAGCGACGACGCGCTGCGGGGCACAGCCCGGCGGCCCCGCGCTCGCGTGACGGAGATGCGGGCAGCGCGGCCTCCAGCCCTAGTTCCAGGGGCGCCCGTGTCCATCCCGGCGTGCCTGGCGGGTGCGCAGTCAGCCGGCTGCGCTGCTCCATCACTCCCTCCTTCCCTCCCTCCCTCCTTCCCTTACTCCTTCACTCGCCCCTTTAGTCACGCCTTTCCTCACTCATTTGTTCACTTGTTCACTCATTTCATTCCTTCTCTCATGCACTCTTCCCTCAGTCAGTCACACATTCACTCATTCCCTACACCCTCACTTGTGCACTCACTCATTCGCTCACTCATTCGCTCACTCATTCATTCACTCATTCACTCACTCATTCATTCACTCATTCACTCACTCATTCATTCACTCATTCGCTCACTCATTCATTCACTCATTCACTCACTCATTCATTCACTCATTCACTCACTCATTCATTCTTTCAGTCAGTCATTCACTCATTCATTCCCTTACTCATTTCCTCCCTCCCCGCAGTCAGTCACTCAGCACTCATATCCTCTCCTCATTGCACTCACTCATTCACTCACTCACTCATTCATTCACTCATTCACTCACTCATTCATTCTTTCAGTCAGTCATTCACTCATTCATTCCCTTACTCATTTCCTCCCTCCCCGCAGTCAGTCACTCAGCACTCATATCCTCTCCTCATTGCACTCACTCATTCACTCACTCACTCATTCATTCACTCATTCATTCACTCATTCACTCACTCATTCATTCTTTCAGTCAGTCATTCACTCATTCATTCCCTTACTCATTTCCTCCCTCCCCGCAGTCAGTCACTCAGCACTCATATCCTCTCCTCACTGCACTCACTCATTCACTCATTCAGGTAACAAAGACTATCAGAAAAGAAGAGCAGAAAACCCGGGGGAAAGAAATGACCCAGAAATAGTGGAACCGCTTAGCGGGGCCAGGAGCACTGGGTCTGCACACTGAGGGCAGCGAGCGGAGCTGGAGCTGGTTCCGGGGGCAGACGGACCCCTCCAGCCGAGACCGGGCTCTGCAGGTCACCACCTGCTGCTGGAGCAGCCAGGCAGTTCTCCCACCTGCTGGCCCTTTATTTACCACCTCACCTTTGATATGTATATCTGCTTTGCTGGAGGCTAAATGTGTGAATAACAAGCCATGGGAGCCCACTCCACTAGAGGGTGGAGCCTCCCCTGGCTCCCCCATGCCTCCCAAATTCATATTTCTTCTCTAGTCTCTTCATTAATTTATACGCAGCTCTTCTCCAGATTCCCGAACCCTTAATGTGGAAAGACCCCAGAGGTGGTTAGGGGTGATCAGGCCAGCAGGGGAGAGCAGTTAGGGGGATCAGGCTGGCAGGCAGGTGAGTGGTTAGGAGCCAGTGGTCCCGGATTGTGAGAGGGATATCTGACTGCTGGTTTAGGCCCCATCCTGCAGGGATCGGGCCTAAACCGGCAGTCCGACATCCCCGAGGGGTCCTGGACTGGAGAGGGTGCAGGCCAGGCTGAGGGACTCTCCCTGTCCCCCCCCCCCATGCATGAATTTTGTGCACTGGGCCTCTAGTTACTAATAAAGCTGTTAGAACAATTGTGTGCAGGTTTTCATGCAGACATACATTTTCATTTATAAGACAGATGCCCAGGAGTATAATTGCTGGGTTGAATAGTAAGGGCATGTTTAGTGTTTTGAAGAGACTGCCATACCATTTTCCAGAGTGACTGTGTTATTTTACATTAAAGCCAGCAATATCTGAGAGGCTCTATCTCTCTGCATCCCATCAGCATTTAGTATTGCTACTATTTATCTATCTAGTAAGTCTGTAGTAATATCTCACCTGTAGACCTAGTTCAATTTTGAACTTAATCATGTTAACTTTTTTCATTTCTATGTAGCTTCATTCTTCTAGTCTTTCATGAATCTCTAAGTCTGCATTTTGCTATATTGGCTGTCTTTTCCAGGAAGTACGATGTTTGGAAGAACATAGACCTGACTTTAATTCTCTGCTTTCTGACATATGAACTCTGTATCTTGGGCAGCTGCTTCACATGTTTGAGCCTTATTTTCTCCTTCTGTGAAAGTACTGCTCTAACTAACTTTTGTAACTATGAAATAAGGTAATGTATGTGTGGTGTTTAGTAGATGACATACCCTCAGTAGATGTTGCTTGCTTTCCCTTCTGTGTTTTCAACTCAACAAAAATGTAGACCAGAATAAGTTCAGAAATAGAGACCTCTCTTCATTAATTAACCAGGTGAATTAGAATCTAGAAATTATTTTTCACTTAGATTATAAAATCTCAGGAAATTTTCCCTTCACCCGTTAGATTGTAGCCTAATCAAATTCTCATTTTATTTTCCCACTAGAGGCCCGGTGCACAAAAATTTGTGCACTCGGGGGGAAGAAGGGGGTCCCTCAGCCCGGCCTGTGCCTTCTCGCAGTCTGGGACCCCTCGGGAGATAACGACCTGCTGGCTTAGGCCTGCTCCCGGGTGGCAGAGGGCAGGCCCAATCCCTAGGTGCAGCCCCTGGTCGGGCTCAGAGCAGGGCTGATTGGGGAGTTGGGGCGCTGCCCCCTGTTATGCTCAGAGCAGGGCAGATCGGGAGGTTGCGATGCCACCCTCAGTCACGCTCAGGGTAGGGCCGATTGGGGGGTTGGGGCACCGCCCCCTGTCACGCTCAAAGCAGGGTCGATGGGGAGGTTGCCGCGCCACCCCCTGTCACGCACAGAGCAGGGCCAATCAGGGAGGTTGGGGCTCCGTACCCTGTCACACACAGAGCAGGGCCCATCAGGGGGTTGGGGAGCTCCCCCCTGTCACTCACAAGTAGGGCTGATAGGGGAGTTGGGGCACCGCCCCCATTCACACACAGAGCAGGGCGGATCAGGGGGTTGGGGCGCCGCACCCTGTCACACTCAGGGCAGGGCCGATGGGGAGGTTATGGCTCTACCCCGTCACACACAGAGCAGGGCCCATGGGGGGGGGGGGGGTTCGGGCGCTGCACCCTGTCACACACAGAGCAGGGCCCACAAGAGAGTTGGGGCGCTGCACCTTGTCACACACAGAGCCGCAGGGCGATCAGGGGGTTGGGGAGCTCCCCCGTATCAGGCACAGAGCAGGGCTGATCAGGGGGTTGGGGCGCCTTCCCCTGTCACGAACAAAGCAGGGTGGATAGGGAGGTTGTGGCCCTGCCCCTTGTCACACACAGAGCCGCAGGACGATCAGGACGTTTGGGCGCTGCCCCCTGTCACGCTGATTCCGGTGCCGGGAGGCCTCGGGGCTACGCTGATCCCAGTGCTGGGAGGCATATTACCCTTTTACTATATAGGATAGAGGCCTGATGCATGGGTGGGGGCCGGCTGGTTTGCCCTGAAGGGTGTCCTGGATCAAGGTGGGGGTCCCCACTAGGGTGCCTGGCCAGCCTGGGTGAGGGGATGATGGCTGTTTGCAGCTGGTCACACACCCTTCAGGGTGGGGGTCCCCACTGGGGTGCCTGGCCAGTCTGGGTGAGGGGCTGAGGGCTGTTTTCAGCTGGCGGGTGACTGAAGCTCCCAACCGCTTCTTTTTTTCTTTTTTATTCTGGGCCAGCTTTAGCTCTGAGGCTTGGCTCCAGCTCTTAGGCCTCAGCTGCTGAAAGCAGGCATCTGGTTTGTTTGGGTTCTATAATCAAAACACTGTTTCAACTTCAGCTCTGAGATCCCGGCTGGCTGAAAGCAGGTTTCTGGGGTTTTGTTTAGCTTCTATATTTTTAACAATGTTTCAAACTGCAAGCTCAGAGGCCGGCAGCGGCAGGCGGGGAGCGTTGGAGTCCTCCGTCACTGAAGCAAGCAAGCCTCATGTTCGCTTTAAGCTGCCTGGCTGCTGGCCGCCACCTTGGCTGGCAGTTAATTTGCATATCACCCTGATTAGCCAATGGGAAGGGTAGCAGAGGTACAGCTAATTACCATGTTTCTCTTTTATTAGATAGGATTGAAACCGATCATTTTGATAAGCCTTTAAAATGGGAAATATAGAGCATAAACTGGTAGAAAACATTCAATTGGTACATAAATTCTGACTCAGATCTTTTCACTTCAGCGTGATCTGCATTGTGTGGCTCAGAAACAGAAGTCCTTTGGAAAAGCTGATGGATTTATTGTGGTCATTCAGAGTATGATGATCAGCAGCTAAAGTCTTTGGAAGTATTTGATGCAGGAAAACTTGCTTGCTAAAAGTTCAGAGTGGAGTGAATGGAGTAAGGATTTTGGTGGTATTTGATGGCATTAGGCCAAGGGACTCAGGGTTAGTTACATCATGCCGCAACCCACAGTCCTCCTGTCCCATGAAGTAGGTGCCCAGATAGATCTATACACACAGAGAAGAAGATAAAGGGTAGTTTATTTTCAAAGCTCTGATGAGCTGACTAGAGCGAGAAACAAAAGGCCCAAGGAATCTTCCCCATTTGCTGCCTTCCTCCACCTAACCTCACACTGGGATGTTCTGAATCTAAGACACCCCTGACTGACTATCCCTTTTTCATAAGAAAAGAAAAATTACATTCAAATGAAGTTACATGTTAGTCCTCAAATTATACATATGGTTTATTATGTAGAAGAAGATGGAGAAAACAATTTGCCTTAAAATCAACTATTTTGATCCCATGCTTAAAAAAAAAAAAAGGAAGCTGGATAGATCAGGAGACTATTATTAACTTATTTATTAGCTTATTTATGCATAAGAAACATTTTCTTCCTTTTGTATAAATATCATTTTTAATTTAAAAGAAGCACATGTACCAAATTGGCATGGTAGAACATTCAAGAATTATAAAAACATATAAAATGTAAAGAAAGCCTTCCAGATTCTCCAGATCTCCAGTCCACCTCCCCTAAGGCAACAAATAAAGAGCAAATGTTTTATGTGCCATAACTATAGGTGCTAGAAATACAAGGCTAACAAATTGTACATGGTCCATGCTGTTAGTGTTCAAGGGAGAGAGACCTGAAATGCAATTACAGACGCATGTGCTCTGGCAGGGGAGTGCAGGGCGCTCAGATGCTAGAGGAGAGAAGCATGCATGGTAATGCAATGAGGGAGGTGGAGTAAATTGCCCAGTCACAGTTTGTGAATTACAGAGACTGGGTTCCTGAACCAATATGTTTGAATCAAAGCCCATATTCTTTCTGGGAACTGCTTGCAATTATCAGTGGGGTATTCCACTTTCAGTTTCACTTTATATAATGCCTCAAGAGAGAAGTTTACTAGCCAGAGGGAATTTCCCAGCTACAAAAAGATGGTGCTGGGTAAAAATTTATTATTATTAGGTATTTCATGGGAAATTCCACTTTCCTTTGACATTTTATTTGGCAGGTTTTCAAGAGTGTGGAAAGCTATGCTACTAGTCGCTCATCTGCATTTAACTTTCAGCCCCTGAATTTAGCAGAATAATTTGAGCAAAATATACTAAGGTATATTAACTTTTTAAACCAAAACACACATACGTTTTTTTTGCTTTGAAGTGACTGTGTGAAAGAGGTTGTAAGTTCAGCACTCTCTGTAGTGTCCTGTTTTGGGCAAACACAGACAAAGCTGTGGAAGAGGCAGTGCTGGCCAGGCTGTCCAGGTCATGAGGGCAAATGGTGTGGAAACTATGATTGAATCAGGGCTCCCACGTCAGCAGCTGAACAGGGGCCAGAGAGCACTTGAAGGTTTGTTGGGAAACCAGGAACTCTCAGGAAGTGAAATGGCAATGTCTGCCCTGCCACCGCGGCCTTGTTGAACAATTCCAGGGATCACTGTCACACTGGGAGTGACATGAATGAGGCCCTGCTTACCTCCTGGGATTGTTCTGAGTGGCTCAAGATATACAATGACTGTAAAAGGTGTTTATAAGTAAATAATAACGATTCTTATCTCCTTTACTAAGAAGGAAGAACACAGCCTCTCTCAGCTGGGAACATGCCTATCACTGTGAATCTGTGAAGTCCTGTTGAATATAAACGTGGTCAGAGAACACCAGCCTCAGACAAGACTACTTTGTGATGGCAGTGGAGCAAGATAAAATAAGGCCACTTCATGATCATATCTGAAAAGATAAATAAGAAATAGTCCAAAACCCAAAATGAGCACACATCACCCTTTCCTGGCTAACAATGAGAACCTACTGCTTCTTTACCAATTGCAGCTTTAGCTTGATTTCACTCCTCTCATAGCGCAGATAAGAATTAAGATACCCAATCAGAGAATTTCTCTTTCTTCCAGACAGCATCCAGTGCAGGGAAGATCCCCAATTTCCTTGAATGCTCCCAAATTACCTAAGACAGGCTCTATCCTGTAGTAAGTTCTTCCTAATAGCCTCTTACTGAGATACCCCATGCTCCCCCCAGGGTGCACCTTTCTCCTTGCAGTGAGACAGGGAAGAGCTTTCTAGAGCGGCAGATGTGCCCCTGGTGGTCTTTGGTTAGAGGACACTGACAAGTTCATGGAGCAGTTATTGCCCAGCCAAGAGCCCTCATATCTGCATCTCGGTCATTTAATACCAAAATACTAGGCACTAGATCAGTGATGGTGAACCTATGACATGCATGTCAGAGGTGACATGCGAACTCATTTTTTTGGTTGATTTTTCTTTGTTAAATGGCATTTAAATATATAAAATAAATATAAAAAATATGTCTTTGTTTTACTATGGTTGCAAATATCAAAAAGTTTCTATATGTGACACGGCACCAGAGTTAAGTTAGGGTTTTTCAAAATGCTGACACGCCGAGCTCAAAAGGTTCTTCATCACTGCACTAGATGCTACTCATCGTGTGCAGATGCAGAAACAGGCACAGCAATGTTAATTACTTGTGTAAGGTCCCACAGCTATTCTGTGGCAGAGCCAGGATTTGAACCAAGGAAATTCCATTGCTGCATCTTGAATCTGTTCAACTGCACTCAGGCAGTGAGACTTAGGAGAGATGGAGTGTGAATTATGTTACAGGTCAACACTGTGATATGAAAAGTTGTTGTACATGTGAGCAAGGATATGTTTAAAGGAGTTCAGTCTAGCAATCAAAGTATTGATGTGTCTCTAGTAATACTTTACTAGTTTATTAAAGTTGTTATGTACATCATTTTTATTCTTTAAAAGTCTTTCTCATAACAATTTTGACTTGGATATATATTGATATGAACTGAACCATTCCAGCGAAAAACTATGGGGCTTTGGAATCAGATCACATGAGTTAGAAGTCTCCTCTTTCAGTAACCGCAGTGCCTGACTTCGTTGGTATTATGTAATTTTGACAAGCCTTACTCACTTCCTTCATCTATTAAATAGTGAAAAAGTATCTTTCTTAAAGCTATTATGAGAATTAAACAGGACTATGTATAAGGCTATACACAATATTAATTTCCTTTCCCAAAGTATTTGGGGCCTTGCCAATTTTAGTTTAGTGAGAATTATCAAGGCTGGCTTATGAAATATTGAAAAGTGATTTGCAAATCAAAACTATGTGGCTATACTTTACTTTCTGATGCGATCTCCATGAATACAAGGGCCATCTCTGTTTTGTTTACCAGTGCCCAGGACAATGAGTGAGCTTGATGATAGTGCACCCATTTTCACTGGAGGCCATGGGAGGATGCTGTGTGGCCAGCTGAAGACTGCCGTTCTTAGGTTAAAAGCATGCAGAATTATTAGGTGTGTTCATTTCAAGTTTTAGTTTTTTCAAAGTTACAAGTTTATAAATATTTCTCTCTTTTCTGCATCCAGCACGGCTGGAGAGCGGTCCAGTTCCTGAGTAGGGGCGACAGGGGATTGAGAAAATGAAAGAGACAGACACAAATACAGTAGGGAAAGCTGGGACTGGGTGGGACCACTGTCCTCTGATGGAGAGACAGGGACCCAGAGCCAATACAGCGAGTTTACTTTATACAGCAAAAACCAGGAAGTTTTACTAAAGGTCAAGACAAAGGAGATTATGTGCATTCTTGGGTGGGCCCCAGTCCTATTCATTCCTGGTGCTTGGCTGGATTTAGGTAATGAAACCCACCCCCTGGCTCCTGGGCTGAAGGTCAGGCTGACAACTCCTGCCTCTGTCAAGGCCTGTTTCCAGGATGTGGCTCTGCCAACGCCACTGGATTCAGCTGACAATAATTAAAGAAATGCCTATGTGCCTTCCCAGGCGGTCTCTACACAAGTTCATGTTTAAAAGGTGTTATAGTTCACAGAGGCAAAGTTATGAAAAAGTACCAGATTTAAAAAAATTCTTTGCAGCCAATATTCCAATAATTTTCTAAACTCTAGACTGTATCCAGTGCAGTAATATTTTATGTCACCTACTTACAAAATTAAAATTGTATTAAATATTTAAAAATAAACCATGTACAACTGACAACGTTGGATGGAAGATGTTTTATTTCAAGCATAATTAGGTATTACCTTAAGTTTATCCCTCTTAGTAGAATTAGTCAAAACTGTCACCTGATTGAATGACTAAATCCTTAAAAACTGGCTATGAAATTGAAATACTAACTCCTTATAGATACAAATGTTTTATATTCTTCCAAATATAATATTATTAAGACAACCTTGTGGTATAACTGTTATCCCTGTTGAGATATGATAGGGCTAAAAAGTAATATTCTTTATCCAAAGTTCAGAACCAACTGAGAAGTGAGCAAAAGAGCAGTGGAGATGGAGACCACAATGTGAACTTCCTCCTGAAATGTGAAGATTATGACTTAGAGCTATTGGCAAGTGGGTTTCCTAATCCTGACCTACCTAACAGGCAGAAGAGACCCAGCCTGCCCCGAGGAGGCTGCCCATCAGGGTGCTACGTGGAGGAGCAGCACACATTCTCTCGGAGGCAGGAAGAATCCAAAGAGAAAAAAAAGAGAAAGGGGTCAGCCACTAGGTCCCCAAGCTCACAAGTCAGGTAAGACGCTTCTTTTCCCCTAGGGTGGGGTGCAGGCAGGTGCGGAGGGAGATTGGTGTGCAGTGAGGGCTGGCTGCGTTATTCCAATGAAAGGACTGTCCTCCTAGGATGAAATATTTGGAATGGCGGGTGGTGGTAAAGGCTTTTTCTCCACAACAACTCTTGTTTTAACAGTGGGGAAGCTGAGCCTAAGAGCAAAGTACTAGCTGCAAGTTCTCCAGGGAGAGGTGCTAGGCCTGGGAGGAAACCAGAGGCCTTGTCCATGAATCCATGGTGTGGTCTCCCAGAGTTACAGTGAAAATGGGTCCCTAACAGGCACCTAACAGGACAGCCACGGAGCTTCCTTCATATTTGCTTTGTGATAAGGTGATGAACTCGAGTGGTGCATAAACCACGTGGCCATTAAGAAGCTTGTGTGTATGTGTAGGACACCAGTATTGAAACCCTGAGGACATTCCGTGACGTTCATGCTGAAGAGGGGAGGTGATGAGAGAGGCAGGGCTGCAGAATGGACTCACAGTCATTCTGTAGAGTGGAACTGCCTAGGAAACAGGGGGAGAGGTGATATGAAGGTGGAGGACCGCTGTTGGAGTGACAGCTGGGGCAAAGCTGCTCGCAGAGACTTCGGGCACATTTTACAGAGGGCGACAGAGTTCCAGCACCAGAAGGTGTCTTTAGGGACCGCTGGTGGCTACCCCCAGGGGTGAATGTTTTAAGAGTAGGCGCCATACTATGTGTTTGCAATATCTTCTCTGTAACTGGTGGGTAGCGGGGCACAGGCTCTGGGAGTCTCCGCAGTGCTTGGCCTCAGTCACTCAGATAAACATGTTAGCAGGGTCGTGCTGGGTTGCAGTCTCCACTTCAGGGCCCACGGCACCTATCTGCTTTCCTCGTTCATGCGGGTTACAGTGGGAACAAATGAGATGACATGCCTGGAAGTGCCTCATCAATGTGACACATGAACTAATTTCAATTCTGAATCATGGCTCTACCCTAAGGTTTTCTTTAACCTGGTTTCCAGTCATTTGAGGGTGAACGCTGTGCGACACATGCAGCAAGAGGCAACATATTTCCTGCCTCCCGGGTGTTCCAAGAGGAGAGAACAGGTTTTAGAGGCTTAGCAATTGTTCCATCCTTAGATAGTTTCTAAAATTACTCTTCTATGAGGAGTGCAAGGAATATTTCTGTACTGACTGACATAAGTAAGACAGGCAGACCAGGTAATTGGCTATAACACTTTCATTCACACAATGTAGCATGTGATCTTACACATGAACATTGGCAAAATGCGTGAAGAGTAACCATATTATGCAAATGTATCTATGCATTACATAATATATTATGTGTATGTATCTATGCTACATGCATGTATCTATATATTATAGGCACATAAAACACATTACAGGCATGCATCTATATGTTGCATATAACATATAACAGGTATATTACATACATGTGTTATATGTGCGTGCATGTATGATACAGTACATATATGTATCTATATTTTACACACACCTATATATTGTAGATATTTAATATGTTATATATCTGTATTTTACTTGTAAAATACAAGTAAAATGGCTTTTTGGATCTGGCCGCACAGTGAGTTTTGATCTGTTATCCCTCCTGTGCCTGCTGTAACTTGTTCTTGTTTAAATAACCTCATGGATAACATCTAAACTCTGAACAAGTGCTTAACACTGTGACTTTGAATGTAGGGAAGCCACAGCCTGATCAAGGAGTTCTTTCCGAATGCAGCTCTCCCTACACGCGCAGCAGGGAAGGAAGCCCAGCGCCTCCTTTGCCTGAGCCTCCTTCGCAGCACGAATGCCACAGGCTGGCTGCCCAGGCCTACGGGGCACTTGCTTTGACTGCCGAGCTTCCCGTACCACAGAGAGAGCAGGCAGTAGTGCTCAGGCAGCGCGGAGATCCAGCAGCCGCCCACAGAGGCACTGGAGGAGCTGTCTCATTAGCCAGCTCTTAAAAACAAGCCGGGTGGACAGCAGTAGGTCCCTGTTGATCTATGAGATAGAAGTCCCCTTGGAGCTGCATGCTAATTGAAAAGGCAAATTGCTGCCATCTCCCTGGTGGTGTGGAGCCTGGGGTGGGAATGAGGACGTCTGGCAGGTGTTGTCTGAGCCAGGATCCTGGGCTGGGCTGGGCTGCGTGTGACTGCAGCTGATCATGGGTCCCGGGGTGAGTGACGGTGCCCTATGAGCCTTCTGAGTCAGTTCTATCGTAGGTTCTCAGCAAACTGGGCAGACGTATAAAAGGAAAGTGACATGCTTGGCGCCAGGCTCTTGATGCTTAGCATGAAGCAGGTTGAGCAAAAGAGGGATTTTTCAAGACAGTGAGAAAATTGCTGAACTAGCTTTACTTGGGGGTGAGCAGAAGGGAGGCGGTTCATCCTAGCTCCTATGTGTGCCTAGAATAGATGCCTAGTTTATTTAAGTAAGGTACTTGGGGGTCAGTAAAGACAGTCTTATGTACATGTATATATTATGTAAATGTATCTATGCATTACATAATATATTATGTGTATGTATCTATGCTACATGCATGTATCTATATATTACAGGCACATAAAACACATTACAGGCATGCATCTATATGTTGCATATAATATATAACAGGTATATACACACATGTGTTATATGTGCATGCATGTATGATACAGTACACATATGTATCTATATTTTACACACACCTATATATTGTAGATATTTAATATGTTATATATCTGTATTTTACTTGTACGGATAACATATTACATGTGTATCTATATATTATATGCATGTATCTATATATCACAGGCGTATATATATATATATTACATGCATACATTACATGGTTGTATCTGTATGTTACACATAATTTATATATCATGCATTACATGCATGTATCTATCTCTTACATTCTCTCATACATGTGCATTGTATAAAATTTAGAAAAATTAAAAGGGGATATAGTGACGTTAGTCTCCAGGCAGGTTTCCCTCCCAGAGGTGAGGTACAGGCTTCTTTCTCATGCCTCCCGTCCGTGTTCTAGCTGATGCGCCTCCCCAAGCCGAGCAGCACCCTTCCTGACTGAGTGATTTAACCTGTGGGGCTGTGTTCCCAGGCCTCGGTGCAGGTATCTGTACAAAGTCATTGTTTCCTGTTCTCCTTAGCAGGTTCCTGTGTCGTGAACCTGGTCCCACGCCCTAGGTGTCATTCATGTTCTTCATTCTTTGGTCTGTCCCAAATCTGTTTCTTTGAGACTGAGTCAGACCCATTTCTCCTGACTGCCTCACTCATTGATTCCCTTCTGCTCTGGATTCCTAGGCATCTGTGAACAGGGTTATGTGAGCTCCTGTTTTCATTTTTCCAAAATGATGCCAAATTACATTAAATAAAATATTAAGTTGCATCATTGTGGCTAAAGCTATATAAATCTCAAAAGAGACAAAGAGGTTAGCTCAAAGTTCTCAGACATTACTAGAAATTTGCTTTCATTAATGAAAAAAATTCACATACAAAATCTTTCAAATTAAGGTTCCTGGGGAAGAGAGTAAAGTGAGTCTGTGATGGGGAGAAGCTGCAACCACTGAATTCACACATTCGTGCTTGAGGGCATGACCTTGAGGACAGGCAGCCCTGGTGCTAACTGTGGGTGTGACCTTGGGCAGTCGGCATTGTCTTCCAGAGCCTCGGGTTCTCAGCAAGAAACAGTCCACGTAAGCAGAACACTCGGCACAGTGCCCACGCAGCAAGTGCTGGGTGACGTTAGGTGCTGTCCTGCTGCTCTAGGCACTGTTGTGTGGCTTGTCTTCTGGCGTAGGCAGAACAGTTGCCCCTTTCCCCTCCAAAGGTCTGAGTTCTAATCCCTGGCACCTCTGAGTGTGACCTTACAGGGAAAATGGGACTTTGCAGGCATGATTAAATCCAGGATCTGAAAACAGACTATCTGGGTTATGCAGGTGGACCCCAGGTCCTGACAGGGTCCTTAGCAGATGGAAGAGGCAGTCAGGCCAGGTGATGGAGTCAGTGTCCCAATCAGAGCGATTGGTGTGAGAAGGCTTCAACCAGCTGCTGCAGGCTTGGGAGGAGGAGGGAGGGGCCTGGAGACAGAAGCTGGAAAAGGGGAGGAAATGGATCCTCCTCAAGCCTCCAGAAAGGAATGCAGTCCTGCCAGCACCTTGCTTTTACCCAGTGAGACCCAGTTCAGACTTCTGACCTCTAGAAGACAGTGCATTTGTGCCGGGGTTCTTGTCCCAGCATCAAGAAGGGTTCAGGAATCTGGAAAAGGCTGTGCGTAGATGTTAAATAGGAATCCAGAGACTAATAAAGAATCCGGAGATGAAATATAATTTTGAAAGGCATTGGGGGTCAGAGGAGCTTAGCTAAAGAAGCTAAGTTCTAAGGTAGCGGTTCTCAACCTGTGGGTCGCGACCCATTTGGAGGTCGAACGACCCTTTCACAGGGTCGCCTAAGACCATCAAAAAACACATATATAATTACATATTGTTTTTGTGATTAATCACTATGCTTTAATTATGTTCAATGTATAACAATGAAATTGGGGGTCACTACAACATGAGGAACTGTATTAAAGGGTCACGGCATTAGGAAGGTTGAGAACCGCTGTTCTAAGGTCTTAAGTCTAAGGTCTTAGGTTTTCCTTGTCCCCAGGACCCCAAGCTTTTTATTAACACAACTTGTCCTGAGGCGAGGCAGAGATATACACTTCAAAGGGTATTCACAAGCATTGTCAGAATGGGGGAATTAGCCTACGCCTGTTCAGGTGTTTGGCCAGTAGGAGGCAATAACATGTAGATTAAGATGCCCTTTAGCTGTCTGGCAGCCAAGAAATCAATTTAATGTATCCTATTCAGGTTTGGGGAAATGCCTTTAACCATTCCCAGATGTGCCCTGCTGTCATGCTGGAATTGGTCTCTGGCACATTTGCAAGATAATAAAGGTGTGTTGTCTGAAGTCACTGAACTAGCAGTAATTTACAAAGCATCAATAGGAAACAAGTGCGTCTCCCAGCTGGACTCCTCTATGAAGACCAAATCTGAATAGGGATAGTGTCCAGTGTTAGATGTAAACAGAGATCAATAAACTGCTTCCCTAGGGTCTCAGCCGAGAGGCTAGCAGCCTGTAAACTACCCCTTCCAGTGCAGAAGGGGAAAAGGATGGAGTGCCAGCCAGCTCTCTTCTGGAAGTGATTTCCATGATAATACAAGTTAAAAATACTGGGGAATTCCCAGTCTCACTGCTAACTGGCAAGAATTCAACTCTGGCCCAGTTCGGGTTTCCCCCTCCATGTCCCTGCCTCCCATAACTACAGCCTGTTTACAAGGTCAACAATAATCCCCACTCTGTAGGGACACAGTGTGCGCCAGGCACTCTGCTCAGCGTTTGGCACCCACCACCCTATTTTATCCTCACAAAATTCCCCTGGCTGCAGGAGGAAACGTGGGCCTGTTCTTCAAACTTCTGCTCACAAACCTCAGTGGACCCTGACGTCAGTTTGGTGGGGAGTGACCAGCAGTTTCAAACAATAAAATACAATAGGAAATATTAGTGGTTCCAGTTATATATATGGTGCTGGGTTGTGTTACAGAACATACGTCTTAATCTGGGTCACAGTAAAAGGCAGTTCTTATAGAGGCTTAGACTTAAAATCTGAAACTCACCAGCAAAGTGATGAAGAGCACAGGATCCAGCTACTTGGCCCCAATTCTGCACCTGACCAGCTGTGTTGCACAATGTTAGGTTTGATGGAGCAATTGAGTTGATACCCTTCCCCTGGGAACTGGCTTTTCAGGTCATTTCACTATGGACATTCCTTTTGCTGAAGACCACATTTTACTTGCAGTGACCACATTCCATTCTCTCTCCTCCGGGTCTACATAAAGAAGTTCCCACCCAGGAAAAAGCCCGCCAAAAGTCCTTTAGAAGCCCCTGACTGCCCTCACTGGGTGCTGGAGCCATCCAGGCTCAGCCACCTGGTGTGTGGATGATCGAATAAATCCGTAATCCCTCACCACTCTGGCCTTGTGTGTTCCTCCTTCAGCGACTTAACATTTGGTGCCAAAACCCCGGAGGGTTCCATGGGGATGGGGAGCCATCGTCCTGGCTTCAGTCACCCCGAGTTTGCTACTCAGAGAGCAGTAGGCAGCAGCAGCTCGTCCTGGGCTTATCTCTGAATCCTACTCAGGGAACTCGATTGCTGGTCTTGATTCAGCCTCTCTCCCTGTGGGCCCTCCCAAACTGGGGTAGAGGAGCCAATGGAGGAGCCTATGGAGGAGCAGTAGGCAGCGGCAGCTTGTCCTGGGCTTACCTCCAAATCCTTCTGGTGTGACTCGATTGCCAGCCTTGATCAGGCCTCCCTCCCTTACGGGGTCTTCCCCAGCCAGCTGAGGAGGATGCGGACCGGGAATCTCTCCTTCTCCATTGCTGAGCCTCCATCCCACACCGGCCAGTCTCCTCTAGGTGAGTGACCTTCCACAGTTCCCCTCATCTCAGGTCTTCTGCTCACTCTCTCTCACTGACTTCTCCAAAGTCTCTCATCTCAGAAGTCCTAGTGCTGGGCCAGAAGATCCTCAGCCGTTTGGCTTTGGGTCATTCTGGATTGGGGATGCCCAGTCCAGAGGGTCACCTCTCGTTTCTCATGGTGATTTGTTTAGCAGCAGGGACACCTGCCCTAAACAGTCACCTTCGGATTTGTGGTCTCTCACTCACCCTTCCTCTCTCATGGGCCATGTGACGCTCCCTCTGCACACTCACGGGAGAGATCATGCCCAACCACCTCACTTTATTTTGTAACACTGTTTGGCAACAACATAAACTAGATAATAAATCTCAATGGCTTGAAAACAACACTTTCAATTTTAATACACTGAGCAATTTACATAATTGCTGCCCCTGCAATGGAAAATGGTCAGAGATTCCCTATGCCCAGGCCTTTTCACCCTCCAGTCCCAATCCTCTCTCTCAGTCCTGCTCTACCCATTTTACCCCTAACAATCCTGATTCTGAATCTACTCTAGACCCAGCAGACCACCAACCTCCACCCCCTTACACATCCCCTCCCTCACCTGCAGTAGATTCCCAAAACCCAGACCCTCTTAACCAGAAACCACCTTCTCCCCAGTCCCTGAAAGCCCAAATCCTGAGAACATGAGCTCTAATACAGCCTTTCCCATCTAACACTCATTCTCAGGCCACCCAAAGACTGTCTTCCTCAATAGCCTCTTCTATTACCACCTCCATTCTACCCCTGAGGGAGGCAGCAGGAACCGAGGGCATAGTCTGAGTCCACGTCCCATTCTCTATGTCCAGCCTCACAGATTGAGAGGCATCTCAGGTCTTTCTCCACTGACCCGACCACCTTTACTAAGGAGCCTGACCCAGTCCTATGTCCTGACTTGCTTGGCATGACATCTATGTCGCCCTGTCCTCCTCTACAGAAATTTACCACCTTAGACCCCACCTCCCCAGAGAGAGAGCCCTTCTTCTAAGCACCCATTTTGTAGCCCAATCAGCCTCCGACATACGCTACAAACTTCAAAAATAGACACAGGTCCACAAACCCCTCAAAAAGACCTCGTTAACCTGACCTTTAAGGTCTTTAATAATAGAGACGAGGAGACCCAAATCCAAAAGCAAAGGTGAGATCGGGCCAAGGCTGAGGCCCAGAGGAGGCCTTTCAGCTCCCGGCCACCGCTCTCATGAGCCCCAAACGAAGGGCCGGTTCTCCAACTGCAGGTAAGTCAGGCGCTAAGCCTCCTCCGGGCCGATGTTTCAAATGCAGCAAGGGAGGACACTGAGCCAAGTCCTGCCCAAACCCGAGACCCCCACCTGGGCCCTGCCCAAGGTGAGGAAGGGAAAGGCCACTGGAAATCAGACTGTAGTCTGGCCTTCTGGTTCAGGCCTCAGCCAGTCCAGCATGGCCGCCCTCTGGATCCGGGTTGGAGCTCCCAGACCTCCTGGGACTGGCCACCGAAGAAGCTGCCCAGGCCCTGACGCGGCCCCACAGACTTACATCACGAGGACAGAGCCTCCGGTAACGACTGTGGTGGCAGGTAAGCAGATCTCCTTTTAATGGACCCTGGGGCCACTTATTCTGCCCTCCCCGAATCGCTGGGACCCTTGTCCCCTCCGCAGTCTCTGTTATGGGGGTTGACGGATCAGCCTCACAGCCATGAGCCACCTCCCCTCCGCACTGCGTCTCACTAGATCCCCCTTCACTTTTCTCATTCTACCTGGGTGCCCGGCCAGGGCTACTACATATCCCCTCATAAAGCCCGCTTGTCCCAAAGCCACAGTCACCTGCGTCAGCTTCACTCTCTTACGCCACAAGGCCGAGCCATTCCTGGGACTGTAAACGCCGCATCTCCTTATCTCCTCCATGACTGCCCCTCCTCTGAACAAGAAATTTTCTCCTTTCTCAGGCTCACTGGGTACTCTTGCCTCCAGGTTCACAACTTTAGTTTTCTTGCACAGCTCCTCTGCGACATGACATGGTGAAGGGACTCCTTCATTGAGCCTTTAGATCCCAAGGCCAACATTCTCACCCCTTTAATGCTCTGAAAAATGTTAGTCTAAGAAATGTTGGCTGTTTACTTTTCGGTTATAATTGAAAAGTTAAAGTTTCTAAGAGTGAAGAATTCTAATACCTTTTAAAGAAAAAAGAAAGAATATTAGAGTAGAAATACTTAATGGAAGGTCTGAGACATGGTATGCATTTTTGAAGGACATGGAAGGAAGGTTTGAAGGCTAATTTGAAAGTGTGAAATTTGTGAAGGTTGCCTATGTGATGAGAAGTAAAGGAGAAATGTTGAAAGAAAGAGGTTCTAAAGTTAACTATTTACAAGAATTGTAAAAGGGCCATTTTACTCTGAGCAAGAAAGTGAGGTTTCAGTCTCTAAGCCTGGATACTTCTTAAGCTAAACCAGAATATTCAGAAAAACAGCAAGGATTAAGGTTCAGTAAAATAAGACGTTAAGTCAGCGAGTGGCAGTTTATAACCTCAGGAAATTTCAAGTACTAAATTTGGCTGGTCTGAGTGCAGTGTCTGACTTCTTATCCAACCATCCTGGCCGCTGGTCTCAACTGCTCCTTTCCTTCCCTTTCTCTTTTCCCTTGGATAACAGCCCATCCTAGCATTCCCTCCCACTTTCACTGCAATCCAATCTCAACCACTCATCTGTCTCCCCTTATTGGTAGCGCCATGGCGACTACTCTCTCAGCTTGTAGTGCGGAACTAGAAAAAAGAAACTCATATCCTTTAGTCCACCTCTTCTCCTTACAACTATCAGCTTGTCTCCGTGATCAGGGATTTTTCTTCCTCTGTGGGGAAAACACATACATCTGTCTCCCCATCAGCTGGACAGGAACTTGTACTCTCTTCTCTCACCCAATGTAGATGTAGCCCCCAATAATCAGTCTTTACTTGTCCCTGTAACCCATCATAGCTGACACAAAAGAGGAGTCCAGATAATCCCTCTCCTCATAACCCTGGGCACACCAGCAGGGGCTGGAACTGCCATTGGGAGCTTAACCACTGATCTACAAGAAACATGTGGGTGCCCAGCAAGGGGCAAAACTGGGAAAACAAGAACCTCATCCCCAGGGTAACCTGTTCTCCCCTTTCATATCACTAGTGAGGCAACTGAGACCCCTATTCTTTTCCCTCCTAAAACGGTCTCAGTTGTATTTTAGCTCCAGGCCCAGAAAAGCAGCAAAACCAGACAAGTGATGCTGTGGCAGCCTCAGGCCCAGCCTTTACCTCCCAGTCACTCCACAGCATCACTCTGAGCCTTCACCAGCCCGTCTCGGGGAGACCATGCTGCTGCGCCCCTCACTCCAACCAGAAGGAACCTGTACAACCTTCCAGCTGACTACAGTCAAAGGCCAGCCCCCTGTGATCTTGACATCCAGACTCAGCAGCAAGTAACTACAGAAGATATGACCTTTGTCCCTATTCCGTAAAACAAAAAGGCTGGAATGTTAGGTTTGATGGAGCAATTGAGTTGATACTCTTCCCCCAGGAACTGGCTTTTCAGGTCATTTCACAATGGACATTCCCTTTGACCACATTCCATTCTCTCTCCCCCGGGTCTGCATAAAGAAGTGTCCACCCAGAAAAAGTCCCACCAAAAGTCCTTTAAAAGCCGCTGACTGCCCTCACTGGGTGCTGGAGCCATCCAGGCTCAGCCACTTGGTGTGTGGATGATCAAATAAATCCGTAATCCCTAACCACTCTGGCCTCATGTGTTCCTCCTTCAGTGACCTAACAAGCATGTTGCTTATTCTCTCTGTTCCTTGGTCCCATCTTACATGGTCTCTTTGAGGACTAAGTGGTTAATCCAAGTGAAGTGCTCTGAGCGGCGCCTCGGTAAGGAGCGCTCAGCTAACGTTTCATGGTTAGTAAGTGGCAGAACTGCAGGTTCCTGCTTCATCTCATCTGGAGTTTGAAATCTAAGGCAATTTCATGCTAATTTAGGTGTCCCCTAAAAACAGGCAAAATACAAGTCTCCCCGTTACCGTAAGTTATGAGCAAGTTATAAATATGGGGCCCTCATCTTCTAGGGTAGTCGCCTATCTTGACAAAGTCCTGTCTGAGAGGATACAGGCTTAGTTGCTTGTTCTGCTCTTGATACCACCGTAATTAAGCTGGTTATTGGTGACGGGAAAGGAGCAAAGGGAAGGCCAGATGTTATGGGCAAGGCCATCTGTGTAGCATTGCCAGGAAGCTGCAATTTAGCACTCCCCAGGGAACCACTCCTCTAGTACCCACAGTTCGCTGGGGGAAGGGGCTGGCAGAGGGAAATAGACGCATGCTCAGTACAGTCTGGGTGAACTGGGGAAGGTGCTTTCCTGTCAGTCACACCTGGGAACAGGCCATTGGCCAGAGCAGGCGTGGCCACTGCAAGCAGATATTTAATCTCCAAAACAAAGGAGTTCCCTCTCCTACTCTTGACCTCTGGGCTCCTGGTTCTCTAGTTGCAGGGGATGCGCTATCTTGCTCTCCTGCATTCGCCCACGTGACTCACTGCTCTGTGGACCCCACACAATGGACTAATGGACTGCAGTAGCCTGATGCTGTACTGGACTCAGTTCCAACCTGGAAAGGAAACTGGATGCTGGCTTTGCTTATACATCTTCTGAGACTGGATTAAGGGCAATGGAACTTTGCAAACCCAAGGATGTAATTCCACGCAAATAAAGCTTTCTACCGCATCTTATTCTACCATGGGGCCTCGGAAATGCTCATCCCAGTGATACCTCAAGAACCCCACTCCCACTAGCAATGGGGAAAGACCATCCACATGACAGAACCTGGAAGGCACTGGCGGTTTGAAAAGAGAACAAGCTGATGACCTGCTGGACCTTCACTGTGGGGTGACATCTGCATTCTTTATCTGCAGGAAAGCCAGTCAAGGGAGGACTCCTGCAAGAATCTGGGAGGAGGGTGCTTCCTGTCTAAAAGGCTTTGGGCGACTGGGGCTCTGGTGGTGTTGTTTGTTTTGCCCTCTCGTTTCCTGCTCTGCTTTCTCCCTCTGCGCCAGCAGTGCATCTCAGGTGTTTTGTCAGTGTCTTAGGAAAGACTTTGACTGTTCTTGGTGTCAAGTTCTTTGAGTGAACTTGAAGTACATAAATAGGCTCCATTGCTTTCAGCGGTTCTGAGATTTAAGAATTTAAAGAAGCTAAGGTTCTCTTAAGGTTTAGGTCTTAATTGGTAAAACTATTTAGACTATTGATCTTACTATTCAGCTGATATCCAGTTTAGATGAATTCCACACCACCTCCAGTGTGCTCGACTGTAGAGTGATTTTGTTGCTTACTGAGGCTCTTGGGTTCAGGAAGGGTGTGAATCAGCCTCCCTAAAGGCATCTGGCAAGGTGTCTGCACCAACAGGGGAAGGAGGGCCAGCGTGCAGCACCTGCCCACCCACACCCATCTCCTCATCGCAGCAGTGGCAGCCTTTCATTTGCTAGTTTGCTTTGACTGTTGTTTGTGGCATGTGGCCCTGTGACCTTAGAGCTCTCAGTAGAAGGGAAAATAAACAGTTTCCATAATTCCCTGAGAGACAGGCACCTTCCTTTCTCTTTTTCTTGAAGAATATGGTTTCTCTTTCACTATTTATTTACTTATTTATTTATACTTGATTTTTTTTTAGAGCAGCTTGAGTATCACATCAAAAATTAAGCCGAAGGTACAGTGACTTCTGATACAGCCCCTATCCCCTTCCCAGCCTCCCCCATTATCAACGTCCCCGACCAGACAGTACATTTGTGACAATCAGTGAACCCACATGGACACCATTATCACCCAGAGTCCACAGTTTATTAGTTTACATTATGTTATAGGTCACTCTTGGTATTGTACATCCTAATGGTTTAGGCAAATGTACGATATGGGTCCACCATTATAGCATCATACAGTGGTTTCTCTGTCCTAAAAATCCTCCATGTTCCTTCTACCCCCAGACCTCCGAACCCTGACAAGCACCAACCCCTTACTGTCTCCATAGTTTTATCTTTTCCAGAATGTCACAGAGTTGGGATCATACTGTGCACAGACCTTTCAGACTGGCTTCTTTCACTTAGCAATGTGCATTTCCAGTTCCTTCATGTCTTCCCGTGGCTCGACAGCTCACTTCTTTTTAGTGCTGAATAATATTCCATCGTCTGGATGGGCCACAGCTTATTTGTCCAGTCAGCTACTGGAGGACATCTTGGTTGCTTCCAACTTTTGGAAATTATGAGTAAAGCTGCTTTATATATCTGTGCTGGGTTTGCTGTGGACGTAAGTTTTCAGCTCCTTTGGGTAAACACCAATGGGTGTGATTGCTGGATGGTGAGATCAGAGCATATTTAGTTTAGTAAGCAGTTGAGAAACCCTCTCTCAAAGTGACAGCTTTCTCTCTCTCTCTCTCTCTCTCTCTCTCTCTCTCTCTCTCTCTCTCTCTCTCTCTCTCATCAGCAGTGGCCTACATGAATCCGTACATGCATATAGTCACTTAGTGGGGTGGTTCTACGGGACCCCTGTGGACTGGCATTAATCTCTAGGCATACAATTCCAGCAGATGCCCCACGCTCTGTACCCCCACCTCTGAAGTACCTGTGCAAGGCCTGGGGGAGCTGATGTGAGTCTCCTGGTTTCCAGTGGCAGGCGTGTGGACTCCACAGCAAGGATGGGAAGTGGCCTCACCAGGGTGCATGTGGAGGACTCTGTCCTCTGAAATATGCAGATGACTGCTGGCTTTGTGAGGACAAAGACAAACCAGGAGTGTGTTAGCCTTTTAGGGTGAGTTCAGTGTTCCTTTCTGCCAAACGCATACATACTCTTGCAGACCCACCTTCTCAAGGCAGGGACATTTAATTGGACCTCATACTCTGAGAGAAGAGGAGGGAAAAGTCAGGGCCTGTGTTGGGTGGTCCTTGGGGATAGCTCTCCTGGACAGGTGAGTAGGAAGCAGCAGGGCCTTCCTTCTGGGTGTCCAGAGCGTCCTGCAGCAGGTACTCGTGGCGATCACTGGGGGGTGATTCTACCTGGACCACAGTCTCTCATGCGACTCCTCAGAGCTTCTCTCCGGTGACCCTGACACAGGTGCGTGCGCAGCAGCACAGACGGGGCCTCAGGTGTCCAGCCTCAGGCCCTGCCCATTGTTTCTGGAGCGGAAGCTCCCAGGTGACTGGTGCACACAGGAAAGCTTGAGAGGCAGTGTTAGAGGACACAGAACACACGCCTTCTCTGCTGAGGACAGCAGTGGCCAGAATTTCACAACTGAGCACTGTGGTTAGTAAGTTGGAGAGCAGACCTGCAGGCCCCCTTGGTGGCTTCAGAGCTGACGTCCTGAGTACAAAGCGCCATCCACACTGTGACTTAGACACTGAGGAGAGAAGGAGGTGTCCCTAGTGCGTCATGAGCATCTCCATGTTCTCCGCAGGTGCCTGCTGTGCCCGCGGCTGCGGGACAAGTGTTCCCTTCGTCCGCATTAGCACGTCTGACTTGTCGGAGAGGCCACACATGTATAACCAGTTCAGCCTTCACCATCAAGTTCAGAATAGAGTATGTGGACGGCGCCCAGTTCCTCCAGTCAGGCCTCCTGTGATGCGAGACTCGGCCTGGCAGGCGTCCCACATTCCCAGTGCTGTGTGCGTCATCTCCTGAGTCACCGTGAGCCGTCACCTGCTGGTGCTACCAATGAGCATATTTGGAGACGAAGAGAGGAGCGTACCTGAGCCCGTCAGTTGCAGGGCCGTCTTACGAGGACCCGCTTTCCCGGTACAATGCGTTGTCACCACCGTCTGTCGTAGGAGTTTGGCTTTGATCTCACCCTCTGCCCACGCAGGCGAGCAGCAGTGGAGGCGCTCCTTCTTCAGCCCTGCCCTGCGTCAGCAGTGCGTGCACGCTGTCCTCCACGCCCCTCCTCCCCAGTGACCGGTGGACTTCAGGCCAAACAAGGGCCCTCTCGCATCCTTGTTCACTCCCCTTTGACCCTTTGTGGTCGGCATGGTGAGGAGCTGCAGGGCTCCCAGGCTCCTGTCCTCCCCAGCCCCAGGGAACGCGTCCACATGCCATGCCACCCTGTGGTTAGCACCCAGCCTAGCTGAAGGCAGCGGCTGCCCTGACCTGGGCACAGCACCGGCTCTGGGGCCACAGCCGAGACATCACCAGGCTGAGTGACAGCCACTCGCTGGACGAGCTGCTGTGCAGGGAGACAGCACCCTCCCCCTCCCAGGACGTGGGAGCAGGAGCAGTGGGGCAGGCTGCTTCCTCCCAGTCCTCCGCCGCTGCTCCCTGGCCAGCTGTGCCTGGTGAGTGGGAGAGCCTGGGCCCAGGAGGCTTGTCTGCTGCAGGAGGGAGCCTCAGGAACACTGCTGTGTGAGCTGGCGGAATACAGTGCCCTGAGTGTCTGGCCCCCCAGCACCATCATTTTAGAGGGAGAACTTAGGAGGCTACAGATATTTAAAAAGCAAGTAAACAACCAAATATCGAGAGAGAGAGAGAGAGAGAGAGAGAGAGAGAGAGAGAGAGAGAGAGAGAGAGTTCCAGACTGCTGTGTAAGCCAATGCTTTCAGTCCTAGGATTTTATACTGAGAAAGGTTTCTCAGAGGTGTTATCCCATGAGGTGCTTGTGGTCGGGTGGGTGATGAGAGTGTGTCTCTGAGCCTTTCTCCTGTTTTCTCAAATCTTCATCGTCTTTGGTGCTGTCTCCCTCCCCTGAGAAGAATGGAACTCCTGAAGTCATG